TTTTCTGAAAATCGTGAATCTATATACCGCTTCTTTCCACATTGGTTCTACACGCCGATTTCTTTTTCGGACATAACGCAGTTTTCTTACACGTGGAATTATTATCGTCAACAAATTCACGTATTCGAAGCGATAAACGATTTTTTGTAATTATATTAAAAATGCTACATATTAACATTGTTCTGATGCTACATTTAGCATTCAATACCCCCCTTTTCTCGTGCTGTAAATTATTCTTATTGCGAAAAATATTACCTCAGCCAGGATTCGAACCTAGGCTGGGACCCCCTCAATCCGTGACGGGCGTCTTAGCGTTATGTCCGAAAAAGAAATCGACGCGTAGAACCAATGTGGAAAGAAACGGTATATAGGTTCACGATTTTCAGAAAAATATAAGATTTACAAGTTGGGCTACCTACATCTTGCCTTGTGACCCACATTGGCGTGTCCTCATATGTTGTTTACCATAGTTTTAGATAGGGGTCTTACTTGATAGTTTATAATATAATCAAGACGTTCACAAAATTGGGATTGGCTGATGCCGTCAGAGAACATAATTAATGTTAGATTTCTTCAGCCAAAAAACAGGCAGATGTTTATTTTGTCTTCAGTTTCTAAATTTTATTTATTTTATTATTAACGTTAATAGTATCTTAATAAAAACGATCATATCTTATATCTCCGCGTCACTTCTAACTGCGTGGTGATTCCCTATCCAGTAAGCAGGAGCCTGTCCGTTTACACAAGACGTTTTGTAGACGTGTCTATAAAGGCGGGTCCAGACATGTGTCGTATCACCGTATCGTATCGTGATCGCGTATCATGAACAGCTAAGTGTGGACGGTGCGCCGTATCCGTATCTCGTATCGTATCTGCGTATCATCTTGATAGTCGGTATTTTACCGAAACATCAAAGAAATGATACGTGATACGGATACTGTCAGTGTAGACGCGTTTTCGATTCTGACCACTCCATCTGACAAGGCAGCATCGCTAATCAGTCGCGTTGCTTCATGTCTAGCGGTTGCTTGATGTCAGAATGGAGTGGTCACAAGATAAAATAATTGATTTAATAAATATATAATATATAAAGAAAAATCTATTCTTTGGAGTGCAACAAATCCGCATTATTTTAATCGGTTAAAACAGAGCTGTCCACGAACTGCTCATTTCGGCCGATTTTCGCGAGGTACCGCCTATCACCCCCTACTCCAGTCATTAAACAACCGTAACCAAGCGCGCGACGCTCAGCTTCAGGTACGACGTATCGATAATCCGACTCCGTTGCGTGCCCCTTGACTGCCAAATGTCAGTTTCTAAAACGTGATATGTTTAACATCTTTTTAAATAATTATTTCAATGAGAAATTTTTAATTTTCGAATATTAATTACATTGACGAGAATATTTTTAGTAATAGATTTCCACGTCACCCAGGAGGTACTATAATTGACGCGTTTTTTTTAAGTGGTTTCCCCAGTATACTGGGGAAACGCGTCAATTATAGTACCTCCTGGGTGATGTGGAAATCTATTACTAA